GAATAATCCCGCACACTCTAAAGCGATACTAAACTGCAGGGAAAACCCAACCCGAGCCAAGCCGTGCCGTGCCGAGCCGAGTCGTACCACGCAGTGGAAAAGCACCATAAATCCATATTCGAGGCTTAGTGTATCCCATCATGCATCATGTTCTAGAAATAAGTCGTGAGACTTTTTGCAGAGATCTCGCGAGAGGTCACGGAAACCTTTCCAATGCATGATAAATATTAATGATAATTAGATATTACATATAATTTGGTACTAAAACAAAGGGTTGCACGTTTTATTGGTGCAAATGTGTAGTGGTGTAGTCGTGGGCATTTGCAACTGCTTTTTATCACTTAATTTAAAGCACCACAAAATTAAATTGTCATCTCTTATAGAGACACTGAACAGACATTCAGAATTTGATTTTAAAATGCAAAGTATTGAAAATAAAAATAAAGCTCTGTAAACACTTGCATTTTTACAACACTATAAGTGTGTCCTATCAGGTAATGAAAAGTTCTACACACGATTGTGGTCTTCATGCTCACTTGGACCAAATACAGGAAATACGTCATATAAGTAGTCAAGTGGTCATGTGCAAAGACCACGGCTGCGTCCGAAACCGCCTACTCAATGAGTAGGTACTTATTTCAATAAGTACTTACTTAACGAGCGCTAAAAGAGTAGGCACTCTACAGCCAAATCTCGTTAAGTATGAATGAGATCCGGACTTCATCCGCCATGTTGACGTTATCATGTGATCTACGACGTTACAAGCGCAACAACTTATTAGATACGAGCGACAGGTTTAATTGATCTCTCTATAAATATGTTGATGTTTATTCAATTTCCTCATTTTGTGGTCTTGTTGAAGAAACAGCTGCCCTTTTATTGTGATTGTAGTATAACCAATACATTTTGGGTTTATTTAAATGTCTATATACTTAACCCCTACTAATATGACCCACAGTTTAATCCTTAAATATATTATATTATTACGATAACCCAAAATTGTTATCTCTTGAATATATATATTTTATGTGCAATTTTTCATCCACAAACAAAAACGGCTTAAATCTCCTTTGTTTTCCTTTTTCTTGTTGAATTTAACCCTCGTTTCATCCCTCCGGTTTATAAACAACAACAGCAACAACAACAAATGCAATAGTTTGATGCATTGATTATATGAATATTGTGATTATTTAAAGATATTTAACCTTGTCATTGTGCCTCTTTTTCCGTGTATATAATCTATAATGTTTTCTGCTGTTTGTCATTATGATTGTTCATTGTTAAAGATACAACCATCTTTCCCTGAGCTTGTATGTAATTATAAGTTCTGCAGTAACAATAATAAAAAAGAACATAAGAGGGGCAGGTGCAGTAACACCTCATTGCATCAGTAACTCCACAACCCTACCTAGTACGGTTTTCCTCAGCGTTTGCAATGTTTGTAATATCTGCACAAAGGAGACGTCGATCAGCTGCTAGAAGATCTCGCCTTTGGAGAAGACTGTTAATTTTACACTGGAAAAATGTTAGTATTGCTACTTAAAAGTAAGTAAACTACTTTTAACTACTTAAAAATTACCCCAGAATGCATTGCTAGCCCACCCCAACACTTATGAACAATAATGATAAATGCTGACCAATAATTATAGGATCAGAGGTGGCATGAGTGCAATTAAATCCATAAATTCGTGTTTATGAATGAATTTAATGATTAATGATTAATGTTTTAAAAAATGTTGAATATAGAAATATTACATGATTTAAAGAACTGAAAAGATACTTTAAAATGAAAAAATCCGCCAGCAGGTGGCGACAAGTCACTGATTTTATCACTGAATCATTCATTCAATTGATTCATTCGAACAGCTGAATCATTCAGGAATGAAGCAAGTGACTGTCTTTATGAATGGGTAATCATGAATCACTGACTCACTAGATTCATTTAAAAACGCAGTTCATTCATAAACGAAACACCGCTGTGTTTGAATGGAGATGCGCAGCGGCTGAGCTGTGACTTTGTTTCAAGCTATTTTCGACGACGAAATAGAGCAAAATCAGACCATAGTGTTATAGTCAGACAATGTAAGTCACTTAATATTAACTTCTTGTCTATTTAACTGTTGTATTAAATCAGTATCACATTTACAAACTCCCTTAAAAATCATTAAAAGCTCACTCATCTTAGCTCATCGCGAGCTCACATTTATAATCAACGAAGCTCTCTACACTGCGCAATGAATCTCTTATTTACACCCTGTCTACACTTTGCTTATGAAAGGATTCATGAGATATGTCTGTGATACATTACTCAACGCTGCAAAAACACGTAGAAACCTTTGAAGCTCCCCTGAGCGATCACAATCACAAGTATGATGATGATCTGGTCAGTCGCACTGGTGCTCCTAAATATGTTTTCATAGTCGCACGCAGTAGTTTTCAGTCGCAAATGCGACTGAAATGGTCGCACTGTAGAGCCCTGTCATAGCTTCATTACTTGGTGTAGTGGGCTAAAGCACTGCACTGATCAGCAGAAGGTTGCTGGTTTGATCTCTGCAGTCGTCACCACCTCACCACCGGTGTGTCCTTCAGCAAGGCTCTTTACTCCAGGTGGCTGCTGGGGGATTGGGGTCCCTGTAATAAGAGCACTGTAATTCACTTCTGATAAAAGTGTCAATGTAAATGTGATTTTTGTAAATCCTTTTTTAGGTCAAGTTTGTTCTGCTGGTTTCTGTTCATACAATATCAGTCAATGGAGCCTGGCTTTTAGAAGCTTCATGACATTATTTCATGATGCTTTTGAAGCTTCTGAAACTCGGGCTCCATTGACTGATATACCATTTCCAGGATGCTGCTGTGGACTTCTCCATCCTCACTGCTCACACCAGTCTGCAGACATTTCAGATCCTGCAAAGAAGCAAAAATATAATACAAAAGCAGTCATTTTAACAGCACAATGTCATTTGATTTCTCTATTAGAAGTAACAGAATGATCTTACTTTATATTTTTGTTTTACGTTTTCCCTTTTTTTCCCACAAATGCCACATCACCTTTCCTTGCAGGTTCTGCTCCACCACAAAAGCTCTGCAGCAATGCACAGGAGTCAAGAATCAGAAAAGTGCTGTAATAACTCGTTTGAAATTACAATCATTGAAATAAACTACAACTTAATTTTAAGATTTAAAAGATGTTTTATTCATTTCTGTAGTATACTCACTCAAAGTCTTTGATGGCAGCATTCCGCTTTCTGGTGAAGAGGGCTTCATTAGCCGCTGTATATAAGCAGACGTGTGTGCTCATCTGTCCCTGTAACATCCAGACAAGAGTCAAGTTACCTCTGAGATTTGTGTGCTCAAAACTACATTTACATTCTGAGGTAGTTGATGATGTGTTAAGTAGCTTTTTATCCAACACAAATGTTCCTCAATTTTTCAACAGTACTAATGGACAAATAAAATAGATTACTTATATTTAGTTACTTTACTTACATTCATCTATTGCAAACAGTGCTGACAACAGTGAATTGTACTACACAATAACACACATATACATCACTCAGATGTCTACTTCATATCTAGGACCTATTAGACATACTTCTATGAAATTCATATAGAAGATTTTCCTACCAGATATTAAATAGACATTTAGTAATCGTATTTAAGATGTATATGGTTTAAAATGTATGTAAATCTACTTTGGAGATGTACGTGTGCTTCCTGGAGCCCCCGTTAGCTATACATAATAAAACATGTTTATACAGCAACATCACAACTATACCATTCAGCATCTTTACACTTTCAACAATTTGCTCTAAAGTAGTTCAACAAATGCGAATTTAAAATAAGGAACCGTGTTTTGGTTTGTAATACGTACATTTGTAAACACCCTCATCCAAATTTTCCGCCATGTTCGATTATGACGCATCCTCTTCTTCTTCTTTATGATGTATCCTCTCGCGTGGCCTCCTGGGATAGAAAAGTATCCATCGGCGAGCACTCAAGAAGCTGGGCAGAAGCAGTAGGACATCCGGGAACTTCTCGACTACTCTTTTATGAATACTAAGGATTCGGACATACTTATTCGCCCGGCTACTGCTTTTCCCTACTATATAGTAGAGAGGTAGGCTGTTTCGGACGCACTTTAAGTAGACGCGTGTCCGAATATCGCGAGAATTAGTACGTCCCCAGGTAATTCTCGACTACTCTTTTATGAATACTAAGGATTCGGACATACTTATTCGCTCGCCTACTGCTTTTCGCCTACTATATAGTAGAGAAGTAGGCGGTTTCGGACGCAGCCCACAAGTGCGGGTATTTGGACAAGGCATGAGAAACGGCCTTACTTTTCATCTTCTTCTTCTTCTTCTTCTTTGGTTTTTATTTGGCAGTTTGCAAACTAAGTACATTACCGCCATCTACTGGACTGAGGTGTGAACTCATTGGGATATCAAATTTTATATAATCTACTTACTGTGCAAAAAAAAAAAAAAAACACCTAAATCCTGTTTACAAGCTGAGTTTCTTTCAGAGAGGTCATGACAGCCTTAATTATAGATTGTGGGCCTAGCAGACTCAATATGTTTTTTAAGCTCATTCGATGCCCTCTCTAGTTCTTTCCTGTTTTCTGTATCTTCTACATATCAAGAGTACATGTTTTACATTTTCCACTTCTCCACAATGTATACATAATCCTGTCTCGTGTTTTCCTATTAATCTTAAGCTACTATTTAAACTTGTGTGCCCTATTCTCAGCCTTGTTAAAATATCTTCATAGTTGATTATTTAGAATATTTGGATGTATGTCGCACTCTTAACCCATATCAGAAGAAATTCACTTTTTTCTCTCACCCACATAATTGTCACTCTAGGATCAACTACGTCTTTGCTCCTAAGACAATAATGCATGCAATCTCACTTTGCAACATATGAGATATTGTTGTCTCTGATCATGCTACAGTGATATTAGATGTTTGTGTGAAGGGGTTTCTTAGACCTCCCAGAAGTTGGAGATTTAATACTTTATTACTCAAAGATGATACATTTTTTCATACTTTAATTCAGAGTTTAAGATATTCCTATCTATTAACTCGGAATCTACAAGTAATCCCTCTCTTCTTTGGGAGACAGCTAAAGCATATATTAGAGGCCTTGCTATTTCATACCTTGCAACCAAAAAAAGAAAGCAGTCAGAAAAACAGAAACACCTAGAGTCAGAGTTAAATATTGCTACTAGCAGCTACTTGAATGATTCCTCTCCAGCTTCTTTAGAAATAATAAGTGCTGTCCGAGCTTCTTTAAATTCATTGCTAACCCATCAGTCTCATTTAAATGTATTATTTTCAAAGCAAAAGCTGTACGAATGGGGTAATAAACCTAGTAAATATTTAGCTCATTTGACAAAGTATAAATCTGATTCACAATTGACAGTTTTTCTGAATTGCTAAAACACATTTCTTGAAACCATCACTCATTTTCTCAAAACCTTAAACACAAATCCAAATACTAAAACTAAATTCACGAAACCTCTGACTCTTGCATCAAAATCAAACAATCACTGCAAAACCATTTCACTTGCACTCAAAATCAAACGGTGCTCTCAGATCACACACACGAGTCAATAAAATAAACACTACAGAGCATTCATTAGACACTACAGAGGAAAATGGAGACCACAGCATCCAGAACATTACAGAAAAAAGTATATTGTATTGAGTAAACAATTTTGCAAAAAAAAAAAATTATAGTAATTGCAACTGAGTACGGTGAATATATTGTATAGGCCTACTACTGTATGTACTGCAATAATAGTATTGTGCTGAATATTGAATAGTACTGAATGTTTGTATATATTCAGCACTTGGATACTGCACAAATACTGCAGTCCAACTGCAAAGGCCAAAAAGGTCAAATAAAACTCTAAACGAATAGCATGTTACAGTACACTCAAATACTGTAAGTTGTGCAATTGTAAAATCAGGGTCAAGGATAGATTAATTCTGTCTCATCATCATGTCTTTGTGCTTGAGTCCGGCCTGAAGACTTTGTCCATATCACAAGTAATGTTGTCTTTTTTTGCTAGACAAAGAGAGAAAAAAAACTCTGGTCTGACAGATCCAGCCTTGACAACACTCTCTAAACCTTACTCTTTCTCTCCTCGTCCTCTTCCTGCACTTCTTACATGTACTCTTCCTCCTCTCCTTCTCAGATTGTTTCCATCTATTGTTCGTATCATCATTCAGTCACCTGTGCCACTTGTGCACTCTGAACTGGCTCATGTTTTGTACTGTTGGTTTGATCACATCATTAGAAACAAGTGTGAACAATTTTGAATCGTTGTGTGTAAACGATGACAACTGTGCTTTAGTTGTGTTTAACTTTTGCCGCTTGTGTTTAGCATTTTGCAGCACAAATGCATCACAGTGTGATAAGTGTTAAAGTGAATGAGAATGTGTTTAGAGTTTAGCAAAAAGAGTGCATGAGATTTGCAAATAGAGCCTAACTGTCTGAACGTGTTTAAGGTTCAGCAGAAATAGTGCTTTATTCGACAAACTGGTTTAGGCTAGTGAGAATTTGGTTCAGAGATTGGGGTTTAGTGTTTTAGCAATTCAGAAAGACTGTATTACTTCTATAGTGGACCCCAAGGGAGTGCGTTCTTTTGATATTTCTATTATTAATAACACTTTTAAACAATTTTACTCTGTTCTCTATCAGTCATATTACTCTTCCCAAAAACATGATTCTATGGTGTCATTCTTTGATTGCCTAACTCTCCCTGTTATTTCAGGAGAATAGAGAGAACTTCTAAATGCGCCCATCTTGAGAGAGGACGCTATAACCGCACTTCATAGTTTGAAGTCTGGTAAATCTCCTGGGCCGGACAGCCTTGCATGTGAATTCTACAAAGAATTCGAGCATGTGCTGCTAGACCCTCTTTTAGCTATGCTTAATCATTCGTTCTTGACTGACAGTTTGCCCCCCTCACTTCGCGAGGCAAATATTTCTCTTATTTAAAAAAAAAGGCAAGGACCCAGAAAATTGTGCCTCTTACAGGCCTATTGCGTTGCTTAATTTAGATTTTAAATTGTTATCAAAAATTTTAGCGTTAAGACTGGAAAAAGTTCTGCCATTTATTATTCATGAAGACCAGACAGGGTTTATTAAAGGTAGAAGTTCCATTCATAATGTTAGGAGGCTTTTAAATATTATTGAGCTTTCCCATAAGCTCAGTACTAGCTCTCTTATTCTGTCCCTAGATGCGGAAAAAGCTTTTGACTCTGTGGAGTGGCCTTATTTGTTTTATACACTAGAAGAATTCGGTCTTGGGGAATACTTTATAAAGATCCCCTTTCCGCAGTCATTACCAATGGTCACAGATCTGATCATTTTTCTTTATCCTGGGGTACCAGCCAGGGCTACCCCCTCTCTCCATTGCTTTTTGCAATAGCAATTGAGCCATTTGCTCAGAGTATAAGGGAGAGTGCAGCCGTGTCGGGGGTATCTCTGGGAGGTAGGCAGCACAAAATCTCCTTGTACGCAGACGACGTGTTGCTTTTTCTTTCAGACCCTGAGGGTTCTGTGCCAGGGGTTGTTGACCTCATTCAGGAATTCTGGCAATTTTCTGGGTATATGATTCATTTTTCTAAATCAGTTGGCCTATTTATAGGGAATAAGAAGCCCATAATTCAACCTTCCTCCATTCCTTTTAAATGTTCTGAGGATGGTTTTGTCTATTTAGGTATTAATGTAACCCCTGCTTTTAGGCAATTGTATAAAGCAAATTTTGCACCAGTGCTTGAAAAAATTTGAGATGATTTGACCAGGTGGATGACTCTCCCTCTGTCTTGGCTAGGACGGGTTACCTTAATAAAAATTAATGTCCTTCCTCGTTTACTATATCCAATGCAAATGATTCCTATTTTACTGTCCAGTAAGGTCATAAAAGAGCTGAATGGGTGGTTAAGTTCATTTATCTGGAGCAAAAGAAAACCCAGGTTGAAGTTATCGAAACTCCAGCTCCCTAGCGCAAAGGGTGGCTTGGATCTCCCAAAATTTGGTTTGCAGTTGGCTTGCCAGCTTTGTTTCATTGTTGAATGGCTTAACGAAGACCCTAAATCAGTTTGGCTGGATCTCGAATCCTCACAGTCCAAATGCCCTTTACAAAACGTATTATTTGTCCATAATTCTAAGCTGAGGAGAGCTCTGTGTGATAGTCCTTTAGTGCGTAATACTCTCAAGGCATGGCGTACTATTGAAAGACTGGAAGATAGGATCGACACAACCTCTCTCCTTTTGCCAATTCTGAACAACCCAGAGTTCTTGCCAAGTACTATGGACCCTGGCTTTAACCTGTGGCCTGCCTATGGCTGTGGCGGCTCGTCGGGGGAGGCAGGGGAGGCACAGCTTCCCCATAATTTTGAGGTGAAAATGGGAGGAGAACGATTTAATGTTAATAAAATTCACAATTCATTTCAGTTCATGTCTCAGAATGTGTATTTTTTGTTTGTAATTTCACAGTTGTTATACCATAACGTGAAAGCGCCGCATTTCTATCGCGAATGTGCCGTATCTGCTGCTGTAATTACAACCGCTAGGTGATATAGAAGGGTAGGGGGAGGCCGGGGGAGAGATGAGCTCTTGTGCCTCCGTTGGTAAAAAAAATTAGCCAATCAGCATCGAGTGTTCACTTTCAGCGCTGAGGAGTGTTGCGAAAAGAAACCTTGTAAGGGAGGCTAGCCTCCCTTCTGATATCAACCAATCATCAAAGAGACGTAAATTACGTGATATTAGCAGGGTAGCGCTTACGTGGTGCTGGCACTGGAGGGTGCTCTGGAGGAGCAGGCACAGCAAAGAGCTTTCGAGGAGCTGGCACTGGAGTGAGTCCTGGGGCTGGAGCCGACACTGGAGACGGGGAAACAGGAGCCCTCCATGGGCTTAACTCGGGAACATGAGCCCTTCCTAGGCTTAACTCGGGAACAGGAGCCCTCCGTGGGCTATACTCGGGAACAGGAGCCCTCCGTGGGCTTAACTCGGG